CGACGCTCTGCGGATCAGTCCATCGACATGTTGGCTATTAGTATCAGCAGTCAGCTAGATGCTAGCTTTGTGTGGAGCTGAGCAACAATCGCGCGCGCGTGTTTGGTAAGCCCCGCCCCTGCGCGTGGCGGAGCTGTGTGTTACTGTGACAATAACGAACAAAAGATTTTTATTTTCCTGATACTGTTTTTCTCATAAATAAACATCATCTAATCTAATCGAATCGAATGTATATTTGTAGTTTTGTTCACGTTATGCTTTCACTTTGGCTCTTATCTGATCTCTATCTGACAGCTAACACAATTACAAAGGTTTCTTGTTAAATCGCTTAATTGATCAACGGAAAATTAATCAAGTAATATTTTTTTTATAATTGATTAAGCAGTGACAGGTCCAGCCTCTCAGATGGGAATACTGGCTTCTGGGTTACATTATTTACTACTTACGTACATTACATTACGTTCTAGATCTATTTTTAAACAATTATAACACAGGGTTACTTTTATATAACTTTCCCCTTTAAAATATACTGAGACTAAAAATTACGCATTTAATTAAGGGTGTGGCCGCTTTGAGTGACAGGCAGGAAGGTCCTGCAGCTGGTGGTCAGCTTGTTTCTGCCCTTCAGTCCGCCCCAGCTCCACTCATGCTCCGCCTCTTTGTCCATTTTTGTATTAGACCTAACAGGCGGGGTGAAGCGCTATCAATATGGCGAAGGTTAGACTTGAGGTTCAAAACTGCTCTTCAGAAAACCAACGGGTCATCTCGTGGTGGGTTTGTCCGTCTTTTATATGCAAGGGATGGTCGTTTCAAACTAGCTGCATATTGCTAGCGTTGTCATGTGCGCATGCTGTGACTTTATCTGCAAGTCACCGGTGTTCAATAGCAGTGGAAAGCATGTTCACAGGTTCTCAACAGTTTGCCGCGCCAGCATTACTTTATTCTGAAGAACAGCACTCTGTATTAGCTATTTGCTTTAATATTTAGGCACAGTTGCATTTCACGTTTCACATATTTTAGGCTTATTGTCTAATTAAGTGGTTTTCGCATTCCTGAAACATATGACATGACTAGAGCTTTGCAAAGTATCCCTGTAGATGGTGAGGCACTGCCCAGCTAGTCTCCCCAAAAGTGTTTGCTTCTATCGTGTTGAGGGATTTTTTTTAAAAGGTACATTTAAACACCATGTCCAGCTTTTAAGGAGTCTGTTTGATCTGAGATGTTACTGATGGTGGATCTGACAGAATAACCCACTAATGAAAAGAAATAAGAAATTGTTTATTCAGTGGAATAAATGAATTAAGATCATCAAACAATGGGGCTGTGACCACAGATGTGTTAAAGACCCCAGACTGAAAGAACATGACTGGCAGAAACAAGTAGTTTTCATGGCCTTTGGTCAGTGACTGCACGTCGTCCTGTCAGGCCCCACACAGACCCAACGTTCTCCTGCCGCCTGTCATCTGGACTGTGGGACAGTCCAACGACATGCATCAGACATCTACTGCAGTCTGGCTGTCTGAAACTGAACAGTTATGATGAAGCTGAGGATGATGATGAAGAGTGTCTGGTGTATCTCTGCAGAAAGTGGTCCAGGCTGAAGATCGTCCCCCAGCCGATAGCAGGGTCCATACTGATGAAGTCATCCAGGTTCATCTGACTCTCTGAGGATGAAATGCAACACAGCGTGATGACATCATGAGGTCACGTGGCATAGATTATCAGCAGGCCCAAACGGAATCTGCGACCACAGATTTCTGACACCTCCTAAAAGTAGAATCTCAGAATCCAAGCAAGTGTTGTTATGTTGTGAATGTTTTTTGTCATTCTCCAAGCCAAGGATGTGACATTCACATATACTTCCTAACTTGACCGACTGGCTACACACCTCTGTCCGGCGCTGCTTTTTCATTCTTTACACAACAATCTGTGACGCATCTCATGTTACCTTCTAGAGCTAGTGATGGCTGATGGAGGCTTTGTTGAAGCTTCGACACAGTATTCACAAAAATGGTTCATTACTCGAGGCTTTAATGACACAGTGCTCAAGACATCTAGTGGTCAATAAAATGAAGTGCAATCAAGACATGTCATTGGTTCATGAATTGTTTGGGATTTGATTCACCATGCATATTCCTGTTCGACTACACTACATGGTTGTATGGTTTCAAGCTGTCACAGTAAAACATAAAATAAACATGAACTCATGTTGAAGACCATGTTTCTTATTTGGCATGTCTGATTGTAACCCTATATACTCTTCACACTTCACTCTTATATTTTGTGTTATGAAACATTTAAATGGTGCTACTACATTCATGAGATGTGCTCTACAAATTCAGACAGATGTTATTTTCACATGTGACTGGTGCAAATACAGCATATATTATAAGCTTTGGCGAAGTATGTTTTGGGGTTCATTGGTAAAGAGGCTCATGGTACGTGGGTAAAGAGGGTGTGCTTGTGTAACTGTTATCTAGATTAAGTATATCTAGCTAGATAGTTAATAACATTTGACTTGCAAACACTTTAAACAAATAAGGTGCTTTTACACAGTAGCAGCAAATCTCAAACAATGTAATCAAGCTCATATCAAGCTCATATCAATCAAGGCTCATACGTGCCGCCATTCGTTTCAACCCTAATAACGTTCCTCAGATCGACATCTTCCACAATACTAATCGGCCTGCAGTTTGTAGCTATCCACTTAGCTACGGCATTTGTTAGCCTGTCTTGCTTTTGTTTATCTGTACTTCTCCCACACGCTACATCCAACGTAGTCTGCCGAAGCCTCCCTCCGCTGTTTGTTTGGGTGGGTGATTTGCTGGCATCAACTGTGTGTATTGCATTTAAGTGATACTTCAGACTCGAAGTACTCCGGTGATAATAAAATTCAGCTTTGCAATGGCTACAAATGACTTTGGTTCTATCAACTCCGCTGTGCAGAAGAGATTTAAATTGAAAATGTCCACGTAAGAGTCCTTTACCTTTCTCCATTTTCTGTCCCCGCCAGTAATATTCAGTTCCAGTTGACATGAGTGCTGCAGCGGTCTTACACCCACCCCAAATGCTCTTATTGGTTGAGATGCGTGAGGACGCCCATCTCAAGCCAGTTGAGAAAATAACGCTCTAACTTGCCCAGCCCTAATATCCTAATATACTGTATATATATATATCTTATCTATACATGTAATATATTTATATACTGTGTATATATATATCATGTTATTTAGGACCATTTATGTAACTACATCTAGTGTTATCTATCTTCTTCTTCTTTTCTTTCGGCTGTTCCCGTTAGGGGTCGCCACAGTGAATCATCTGTTTCCCCCTCTATCCTGGCATCCTCTACTCTCACACCAATTAACTTCATGTCCTCTTTTAGCACATCCATAAATCTCCTCTTTGGCCTTCCTCTTGACCCTTTTGCCTCCTTCTACCAATATAACCACTATCCCTCCTCTGCACATGTCCAAACCATCTCAATCTGGCCTCTCTGACCTTGTCCCCAAAACAGCCGACCTGAGCAGACGCGTGATGACGCCCATCTCAAGCTAGTGCTGATCAACATCCCACCTCTCCTGTGACCCATGGTTTGTCTGTATGTGTATTCAGAGCCAGTGAGAAACGGACTTTGAAAATAATAATAAAAATAAACTGCGTTAATGCGCGATAAAATAATTGTCAGCGTTAATGAAGTATTACGTTAATGAGAAAATAACGCTCTAACTTGCCCAGCCCTAATATCCTAATATACTGTATATATATATATCTTATCTATACATGTAATATATTTATATACTGTGTATATATATATCATGTTATTTAGGACCATTTATGTAACTACATCTAGTGTTATCTATCTTCTTCTTCTTTTCTTTCGGCTGTTCCCGTTAGGGGTCGCCACAGTGAATCATCTGTTTCCACCTCTATCCTGGCATCCTCTACTCTCACACCAATTAACTTCATGTCCTCTTTTAGCACATCCATATATCTCCTTTTTGGCCTTCCTCTTGACCTCTTGCCTGGCAGCTCCATCTCCAACATCCTTCTACCAATATTACCACTATCCCTCCTCTGCACATGTCCAAACCATCTCAATTTGGCCTCTCTGACCTTGTCCCCAAAACGGCCGACCTGAGCTGTCCCTCTGATGTGCTCATTCCTAATCCTGTCCAT